AAGGGGCTCTCAGCTCTCCCTGGAGCCTTCTCCTCTCCAGGTGAACCCCCCCAGCTCTCCCAGCCTGGCTCCAGAGCAGAGGGGCTCCAGCCCTTGGAGCAGCTCCGGGGCCTCCTCTGGACTCTCTCCAGCAGCTCCAAATCCTTCTGATGTTGGGGATTCCAGGGCTGGAGCAGCTCTGCAGGTGGGGTCTCACCGGAGTGGGGCAGAGGGGCAGAATTCCCCCTCCCCTGCTACTCAGGCTGTGGGATCAGCCCAGGATAAGGAAAAGAGGTAAAGAAGGACCTGTAAGTCCTTGGGAATCCGTGTGGAGCAAGTCCAACCCCCTCCTATGTGTTTATTTTCCTTAACTTCGTCCTTGGTATCCCTTGAGCTGGGAAAGGCAACCTTGGAGGTTTATCTCGAGGTCATGGAGGTGCCAAAAAAGCCTGGGGAGGTTTTTATTCCTTCCTGAGTGTTCAATTAATCCAAGGATCACCAGCCCCATCCCAGTCCCTGCTGGCAGAGCCAGTTCCACACTGTGCCCATTGTTGGAGCTGGGGGAGGTGACATAAATTACACAAACAACCTCACCGTGTTTAGTTTAGCTTTTAACTCCTCATGGTCACTCCTTGGTTATAAAAGTCATTTTAGGTCAAGAACAGCAGCTTCTTCCCGAGACAAGGGTTGAAGGAGCTGTGTAAGGAGCAAAAAAAAGGGTGAAAACCTGCAGGAATCAGCCCTGGGAAAAGGAGTTGATGAACTTTTGGATTTTTGGGAGGATTTCAGCCAGGTGGCAGCTGGGGAGGGGTTAAATTACATGGGGAAGGGTTGGTGGAGGGTGTGGGGAAGAGCCTGTGAGTTGGGGGGACGCTGGGCATCCATGGTGGGGGGATGCCCCGGCCTGTGGGGAGGGGGCTCTGGGGGTCCCCAGGCCCATGGTGGGATCCCCAAGCCCATGGTGGAAGGTGCCCAGGTCTGTGGGGAAGAGGCTTTGGGGGCACCCAAACCCATTAGGAGGTGCCCAGGACCATGGGACCAGGACTCTGGGAGTCCCCAGGCCCATTAGAAGGGGACTTTGGGGGTCCCCAACCCACAGGGGGGCTGCCCAGCCCCATGGCAACAGGGCTCTGGGGGTCCCCAGGCCCATGGGGAAGGGGCTTTGCGGGTGCTCAGCCCCATGCAGTGTCCCCTGGCCCATGAGGAGGGGCTCCGAGGGTCCCCAGGCCTATGTGGGGGTCCCTGGGGGTTCCCAGGGTCGTGGGGAGGGGGTTCTGGGGGGTCCCCAGACCCATTAGGGCCCTGCCCAGGGCCATGGGGTGGGTCCCTGGAGAGTCCCCTTCCCCATGGGGAGGGTCCATGGGGATCCCCAGACCCACGCAGGGGTCCATGGGGGTCCTCAGGCCCATGAGGGGTCTGTGAAGGGTCCCAATCACCATCGGGGGGCTCCTGGGAGTCCCCAGTCCCACGGGGGGGGGGTCCTGGAGAGTCCCCATTCCCGTGGGGAGCTCCCCAGTCCCACGGGGGGTCCCTGGAGGGTCCCCATTCCCGTGGGGAGCTCCCCAGTCCCACGGGGGGGGTCTCTGGAGGGTCCCCATCCCCGTGGGGGGGTCCCCAGTCCCACGGGGGGGGGTCTCTGGAGGATCCCCATCCCCGGGGGGAGGTCCCCAGTCCCACGGGGGGGGGTTCTCTGGAGGGTCCCCATCCCCGTGTGGAGGTCCCCAGTCCCACGGAGGTTCTCTGGAGGGTCCCCATTCCCGTGGGGAGATCCCCAGTCCCACGGGGGGTCTCTGGAGGGTCCCCATTCCCGGGGGGGGTCCCAGGGGTCCCCAGGCCCGTGTCCCCGCGCG